AATATATTAACAGTTTTGATTCATTATATTCAACAATATATTAACAGTTTTGATTCATTATATTCAATAATATATTGACAGTTTTGATTCATTATATTCAACAATATATTAACAGTTTTGATTCATTATATTCAACAATATATTGACAGTTTTGATTCATTATATTCAACAATATATTAACAGTTTTGATTCATTATATTCAACAATATATTAACAGTTTTGATTCATTATATTCAACAATATATTGACAGTTTTGATTCATTATATTCAACAATATATTAACAGTTTTGATTCATTATTTTCAACAATATATTAGCAGTTTTGATTCATTATATACAACAATATATTAACAGTTTTGATTCATTATTTTCAACAATATATTAACAGTTTTGATTCATTATTTTCAACAATATTCCAACAGATCAACTCCCCTTTCATTGCAATAACCTTATTGTTCAAAGTAAAATAACCCAATAATTGTGAATCATCACACTCGTCAATATTCTAACATTAAACTTTCTTGATTACGAGTTAATAAACTTATTGTTCAAAGTATAATAATATTACACAAGTTATGAATAATTACATTCGCCAGTATTCTAACACATCAACTGTCTTGTTCTGGTTTAATAACCCGTCCAAAGTATAATAATATTATACAAGTTATGAATAATTACATTCGCCAGTATTCTAACACATCAACTGTCTTGTTCTGGTTTAATAACCCGTCCAAAGTATAATAATATTATACAAGTTATGAATAATTACATTCGCCAGTATTCTAAAACACTTACTGTCTTGTTCTGGTTTAATAACTCGTCCAAAGTATAATAATATTATACAAGTTATGAATAATTACATTCGCCAGTATTCTAACACATCAACTGTCTTGTTCTGGTTTAATAACTCGTCCAAAGTATAATAATATTTTACAAGTTATGAATAATTAAATTCGCTAATATATTCACACTTCAAATTCCATATTCTGGTTAAATATTTTTGTTTGTTTAAGAGAGAATTTTAAGACACATGGGGGCTATCTGCTGTGTTCAGCTTAGGGAATCGAAACCCGGATTTTAATGTTGTACGTCTCTTAATTTACTGGTGTCCCACTGGAGAAATCTAGTTTAATAACCCTGTTCTCTGAAGTATAAAAATATTATATAAGTATTATTACAAGAAAGGGGTGGAAGGTATATTCCTAGTCTAAGTATTATTACAAAAAAGGGGTAGAAGGTATGTTCTTAGACTAAGTATTATTACAAGAAAGGGGTAGAAGGTATGTTCCTAGTCTAAGTATTATTACAAAGGGGTAGAAGGTATGTTCTTAGTCTAAGTATTATTACAAGAAAGGGGTGGGAGGTATATTCCTAGTATAAGTATTATTACAAGAAAGGGGTAGAAGGTATGTTCTTAGTCTAAGTATTATTACAAGAAAGGGGTAGAAGGTATGTTCTTAGTCTAAGTATTATTACAAGAAAAGGGTAGAAGGTATGTTCTTAGTCTAAGTATTATTACAAGAAAGGGGTAGAAGGTATGTTCTTAGTCTAAGTATTATTACAAGAAAGGGGTAGAAGGTATATTCCTAGTATAAGTATTATTACAAGAAAGGGGTAGAAGGTATGTTCCTAGTATAAGTATTATTACAAGAAAGGGGTAGAAGGTATATTCCTAGTATAAGTATTATTACAAGAAAGGGGTAGAAGGTATATTCCTAGTATAAGTATTATTACAAGAAAGGGGTAGAAGGTATGTTCCTAGTATAAGTATTATTACAAGAAAGGGGTAGAAGGTATGTTCTTAGTCTAAGTATTATTATAAGAAAGGGGTAGAAGGTATGTTCTTAGTCTAAGTATTATTACAAGAAAGGGGTGGAAAGTGTATTCCTAATCTAAGTATTATTACAAGAAAGGGGTGGAAGGTATATTACCAGTCTAATTATTACTACGAGAAAGGGGTGGAAAGTGTATTCCTAATCTAAATACTGCAAGTTCCGAAGCTGTGTTTGATAACTTGAACGTCTTCTTTGATGTGTCTTCTTGAACGTAGAATGATCATAAGTGAGATTTGGGAGAACACGGCCCACATCAGGAGCCCTTAGAGCCGGCCATGTTTGACTTGTGGAAGGGCAGAACTGGTGAATTGGATTTAAATGTTATTCGTAAACGTTTTATTTAAAGCAAACGTAAACAAGGGGTATCTACGCTACCCCTAACTAATATTGAGCTTAAAGATTAGAGATTAGTTAACAACATTCTTCAACAACCTTTTGGCTACTCTAATTGAATATTGGGATTGGACCGACACTCCAATATATAACAACGTTTCAACCACACATTCTCTGCCAGGGCCAGTACCGACGACGCTTTTCGTCGAATACCAGGGCTAATCAAGCCGGCTGCGGTACGACAAATATGTATATTAGTGGTTGAGACGTTATTTGTATGATCAGATCGCACGAATAATAATATTTATGGTGTTGAACTAGATTAGGTCGATGAAATTAATTTCTTATCAATATTATAGAAGTAATTTATAAATGAGAATTGGGGTAAAGATTAATATCATAATATTACTTGTTTATTTTAAAAATAATTATTTATATTTACTTAAATCAACTTTATTCATCATACAGAAGAACTAGCGAACCATCAAGGTAGTCTTATTAACAGCTGTGGATTGTTTGTTATGAAGCGTAAAGGTGTACAGACTGTACCTACCGCAGGGATCGAACCCGAAATTTTGCGTTATAAGCCATTCAAGTTTACCACTGAGCCACCGGGGGGAACATAATGTGTGAAAGCCTTGTCGCAGAATTGTACTCAGACATTAATATTCAAATTTTCCGGCACTGTATCCGCCGCAGGGATCGAACCCGAAATTTTGCGTTATAAGCCTTGTCGCAGAATTGTACTCAGACATCAATATTCAAATTTTTAAAAAGACCTACATAGAGACTGTTTTACAAGAGGACTGGTATAACCAAAGAGTCTTTCACATTCTTTTTTTGGGGGGGGGGGATTGGTCTGTTGGATCAGGGGTTCTTTCGCTACTCATTTGGGGGGAGGAAAGAAAAAACTTAACACTTAATAACGAACAAAAAAAAGTGAAACAGACAGCAACTGCCTAGTTTGGGCTGACACTTGAGGAGAAAGATTTGGAGGACTAATCTACAAAATGAGCACAGTCTTATTTCATTTATGTTACTTTTATAGACTAGTCCTCCAAGACTTTCTTCACAGTCCTGTTATATCTGTGTTACGTTTATAGACTAGTCCTCCAAGACTTTCTTCACAGTCCTGTTATATCTGTGTTACGTTTATAGACTAGTCCTCCAAGACTTTCTTCACAGTCCTGTTATATCTGTGTTACTTTTATAGACTAGTCCTCCAAGACTTTCTTCACAGTCCTGTTATATCCGTGTTACGTTTATAGACTAGTCCTCCAAGACTTTCTTCACAGTCCTGTTGTATCTGTGTTACTTTTATAGACTAGTCCTTCAAGACTTTCTTCACAGTCCTGTTGTATCTGTGTTACTTTTATAGACTAGTCCTTCAAGACTTTCTTCACAGTCCTGTTGTATCTGTGTTACTTTTATAGACTAGTCCTCCAAGACCTTCTTCACAGAAGAAGCCCTACTGCTCTTGTGATGAGGTGGAGGAAGGTGGAAGACGTAAGATGAAGAGAGCGTCCCGCTGTCTTTTCCCGACACTGGCAACATGACTTGAGATATGTAAGAAGTATGTTTTTGGTACCACATATTGTGATTGGAGTCTGATTCTTATCTACAGCTAGGTTTGTGATAAAATAGGGCGAAACTGCCTGTGCCCAAAAGGTGTTTTTCTTTAGCCTTTTTTGTAGTTTTGGGATATTATTAGGAAGTCAAAACTCTACAGCACGAGTCGTAAACCTGGTTTATCTTCCCCAATCCTCCCCTGCAGTGTCGTATCTATCTGGTCGTCAGTGTTGGTAGGAGTGCATTGCACGAGAAACCATTTTTTTTTCCTTTACGAATCAGGCCACTAATATCCGTTTATGATGCGAAACCGTGGTCTTCCTCCAAAGTGGACCATGCCACACCACTTACACGCACGTTCTGTGCCTTTGGCCCCCTCTACAGAGAATTATTTTTACACCTGCTGTGTTAAAACACAACTTTGGGGCGTATTGCCAATATTGCCATCAACGTGACGTGTACAACGTTACCGTTTTGCTACTGTTTATAACAAAGAACACGTCCAAAACTGCCTAAAGCAATCAGAACAGTATTTCAATATATTTTGTGTTATGATGCGACACATTAAAGACTTAGCATGACCGATTCTTTCTAGAAAAATTAATACGAATATCAGATCAACACTTTTTTTTTTGGTAAACTCTGGTTTTAAACCAGCCTGGAAAACAATTGTATCAAATTAATGAAGTCTGGATTGATTCTTTTCACAGGTGTTCGGCCCGGCATGGCCAGGTGGTTAGGGGACGCTCGACTCGAAATCTGCGGGTTTGAATCCCAGTCCCACCAAACATGCTCGTCCTTTTAGCCGTGGGGACGTTATATGTGACGGTCAATCCCACTCTTCGTTGGTAAAAGAGTAGCCCAAGAGTTTCCAGTGGGTGTTGATGACTAGCTGCCTTCTCTCTAGTCTTTCACTGCTAAATTAGGGACGGCTAGCGGAGATAGCCCTCGTGTAGCTTTGCGCGAAATTCATAACAAACCATAACAAACTTTTCACATGCGTTATAGAAGTCAGTAAGAATATGCCAATAAAACAATATATTTTGCTTCATAAAATTATTGGGTTTTCCTTCTCGTCTTTTTATTATTATTATTATTAAAGATTCATAAATAAGGTATACCAATAACAATGGTATACAGAAAAAGATATAACAACTTATAACACACACACACTTATACCAATAACAAGAGTATACTGAAAATGAATGTTGAATGACTACATAAGAAAGAAAAAAAATTTCCATTGGAAATTCCACTGTGTCGTTGTGAAAATGTACAACGTTTTAATTTTGTGATTTTTCCCTAATACTAACATGGTCAGTTGTTTCCAAGACATCCAAGGTCATCAGTTATTTAGCCCCAGTTATTGTCACTATTAGAGTTCACTTTAAAGTCACGGATGTGTCCGGTCTTGCCTGACCAACAACGTCTCCATGGCCAGACTATCCGCTAGCAACCCTTATATAATGAAGAATTTCGTTTTGGATAAAAACAAACAAACCATCTTTGGATATCAAAAGCTGGTTATTTTAGGTAATTGGCCATTTGTTGTGGATAATCTCAGGAATGATGGAAAACAATAAGCCGTAACAAGAGTTATTAAAATCATCAGATTTCAGGATTTAAATCAGGTCTTATTGAAACATTAAATTTCAGAATTTCAATCGGGTCTTATTGAAACATTAAATTTCAGGATTTAAATTGGGTGTTATTGAAACATTAAATTTCAGGATTTAAATCGGATCTTATTGAAACATTAAATTTCAGGATTTAAATCGGATCTTATTGAAACATTAAATTTCAGGATTTAAATCACGTATTATTGAAACATTAAATTTCAGGATTTAAATTGGGTGTTTTATTGAAACATTAAATTTCAGGATTTAAATCAGGTCTTATTTAAACATTAAATTTTAGGTTTTAAATCAGGTCTTATTTAAACATTAAATTTTAGGTTTTAAATCAGGTGTTATTTAAACGCCGTATTTTAGGATTTAAATAAGGTCTTATTGGAACATTAAATTTGGGGTTTTAAGTAAGGTGTTATTGAAACATTAAATTTCAGGATTTAAATTAAGTGTTATTGAAAACGTTTAATTTTAGGTTTTAAATCACGTGTTATTAAGAACAATATTACATATGTCTCAAATCAGGAGTTATTGAAACATTAAAATTTAGGTTTTAAATCAGCTGTGATTGAAAACATTGAATTTAAGTTTTAAATCAGGTGTTATTGAAAACATTAAATGTTGTGTCTCAAATCAGGTGATGCTAACAAAATTAAATTAAAATTTAGGCTTTAAATCAAATTTCTTGTCAAAGCTGCTTAAGTGTCAGTCTAAGTAATGTTAAGTATTTCACTTTTCTGTGAAACAGATCGTATTTAGCGTTATGAAATAACTACCATCTAAGATCCAAAGCACCTTATATAGCTGATAAGTACATCCTTATTATTTAGCAGTGGTAATTTGACAGTACCAGTACAACTAAAAACGTAAAAAAAATCAAACAAATTAATCGGAAGTGACACACACACAAAAAAAAGGTTATTAACGTAAGAGAAGAGAGCAAAGAAGATCTGAATCTTACGTCACTGTCTTGCAAGTAGCTGTACACTTCTAAGTTGTCTAATCTGAGGGTTCCTTGAAAAGGTAAAAATCTCCTTCCACGAGAAATCTTCTGGTTACTCCATACACACACTCCCGTTTCACACGGATGACTGATCTTGCTGTCTGAAGATGATATCAGCACCAGACTAAGTTCGGACGGAATCAGAACACATGTTTCCATAGCGTTGCTGCTCGTCAGATGTGAAGGTTCATAACTAGAACTTTGGGTGATTGAAAGCTGAGTCAGACTCAGACTAAAAGATAGCACGTGCTGCCCCTTTCCTCTTCCCGGAAAATCTGTCGATATTCCTTAGTTCATCCGAGAAAGCAACAGGTAACATTACCTGGCCGGTAGAGGGCGTACTCTTCCACACGAGGGAGGGTCTTCTCCGATCTTCCCAGGTGGGTGTGGCCGTGAACCTGTTAAATCAACTGACAGCACCAGGCGCTGTTCCAGAGAAAGCGACTGGCCGGAAGGCACAACGCTTTGTCGCAGCCTTGACAAACTAGGACAGTTTTGGTCGTCACAGTTACCCCCCAGGCCCTTCTCTTCGTCTGTCTCACTGCTACTTTGGAATGCAGTGACCGTGTGGTACATGCTACAAATCTCTTAGCAATTGCGACAGTTTGCGTGTTGTCTCACACGCGAAGGAAGTAAGATCTTGGAAACATTAATTTTGCCGATGTTGGGAAAAAGAAAAGAAGAAGCAAGAACACGAGTTCTGAGTTTCCCACGATTGTCTTAGCAGCCAGGAACGCAGGTGTGAGCAGGTTGTCAATCCACTAATTCCTCGAATAAACCAAAAATAACTCTTCGATCACAATTTTGAAGGATGTTAAATTATGTAACACATTATTTTGATCTTCGACGACAGGGGTTTAGCTTTTAAAATAAAGAAACTTTTCCCCCCTCCGCGAACTATTTAAATTTAGTTCGAGAGATTGATCAGATGTTGCCCTATGGCGAATTTGAAGTCTTGAGATTGGAGAATGAAGAAATGTCCGGAGGGTTTCCGGAGCAAAGAGAAGATCAAGGCCGATGACGTCGTTGAGGAGAAGAAAAGAAGAAATTGTCTTAAAATAAGAAAACAGTTGCTTTTATATTCATCCTCATCTGCTGTATGAACTTAAAGCGCGTGCCCCTGAAAGCGTGTTGAAACACTTCAAACACTCACGTGAACAGCAGACAATATACCACGTGTGACCAGAACTTCGCTGCGCAGGCGCAGAGAAGAATTATCTGTCATATTATATAACGTATACAGGGGATTAAAGATATCAAATCACGGAAACAAAAAAAAAAAAAAAAAATGAAAACGTATCAAGACAACGGGATGTTGCCCAATGACAGGTAAAAACCAGATATTTCTACACATATGGCTGGGCGTGGCCTATTATTTAACTTGTTCGGATTTTGAGCCCGATAGTTCATTATTGGCGTCCCATTGCCGGTAAAACGCGATCCGCACTTTGGGGCAGTGGGTGCACTATAAGAAGGAAAGTTATATTTCACTATTCGGTCAGACAAAAGCAGCCCAAGAGTTGACGGTGAGTGGTGTTGACTAGCTGCTTTCCTTCTCGTTTGGCAGTTCAAAATTAGAGACGGATATACTCAAAACATTATTGGTCGATATAGTACCATTTTACAATATTATTGGTCCATAAAGTACCATCTTACAATATTATTGGTCCATAAAGTATCATTTTATAACATTATTGGTCGATATAGTATCATCTTACAATATTATTGGTCCATAAAGTATCATTTTATAATATTATTGGTCCATAAAGTAAAAAGATACGTCTAAAACCACCCTCTTTTGGGAGTTTACGGATTGAACTTAATTTTAATATTCAACAAATTGTAATGTAAAGACACCCCTTGGCTCCTAAGGGAGGTGTTAAAACAGATAAGTCAAACAGAAAGCCGAATTTGTTTTTATTTTTTTACAAAGAAACAACATAAGTCGCCTTGTGTCCTGATTTAGTTATATTTTCACAATAAACGCTTCTATTCTTTTCTTCCTAAGCCGGTTAGAAAACCTCGACGTGCTGTGGTTTCTTTAAAATCATTTATTGTCCGTTCCCTTTCTTTCCTGTTAACTTCAGTTGTCTCGGGGATTAATATATCGACCAATAATAGTGTAAAATGGTACTATATCGATCAGTAATGTTATAAAATGGTACTTTATGGACCAATAATGTTATAAAATGGTACTTTATGTACCAATGATGTTATAAAATGATACTTTATGGACCAATAATGTTATAAAATGGTACTTTATGGACCAATAATGTTATAAAATGATCCGTTTTTTGTTAATTCGAACTGAAATGTTTTGGATATTTTTATTGGCTAAAAAGAAGGAATTTCTCGCACTAATTTTTAGAGTTGGAACTGCGAAAAGTGATTTGAAGTGGTAAGGTGACTGAAATTCATCAGCGCGTCACGAGCTTAACGGCCAATCACAAAAAAGCATGGGAGTCTCCAAATGACACGCAGAGGTATTCAGGAACCGCTTAGAACCATCTTGGTAGATATTGTGCAGCAAACCAAGTACAATATTATGCCTGTAGCTGCTTTCAATGTGTTTCTGTCTGCTCATCCTACTCCTGACTATCGTGATGCTTCGACCTTCCCTACCAAATCGCAGGTAAAATCGTTCATATCTCAGTTGAAAGCTAAACATAAAAAAATGATAGCAGAAGCATAAAAGGTTGGCAGTTGCTTAATTAATGATGCTGAGAATATGGCTTTACTGATATATGCTGAATTTACTCCCAGTGGATAGACCTTAGTACTAGCTAGTATGGAGACTTGAGGATGCTGTATTTCACTTTAAAAAATTATCAGTTAATTAACGAAAACTTGCCTCGTTTGGGTAGTTGTTGTTTTTCAACAAAAATTTCCCCCACTGGCTCGTGAGGGACCTTTTAATATCTAGTAGTTATCTTCTTTTGTCAGCCATGAAAGGATAATATTTAACATTAAATATTGTATGAAAGCTGAGAGGTGAAAAAAAAATTCCGGAACAGGGACTTAAACCCGAGACGGCCCGGCAGGGCCAAGTGGTTAGGGCACTCGACTCGCAATCTGAGGGTCGCGAGTTCGAATCCCCG